CCACATAGAGACAAGTAGGGTAGAATGAGTTTTTGGACTAGGCTACTCTCAGCGCGCGGTTTAACTTCACAGGCTCGAGGCACATCTGACTTAGGTGCCTGTATGGGACGGTCAAGACCTTTACAGTCATTTAGCATGGTCAAACTGGCAGGGGTTTCCAGCAAACGTCCCTCATTTCAGTAGACGAACACAAGTGACTAAGGCCTCATTTCAACGCGAAGGAACTTGCCGTGTTGCCGCGGGCAGGGAGGACTGCGCACTGAGGTGCAGAGGCATTTCATGACCGAATCTGTTCAGAGTGGTCAGGTGGACAATTTTGTCGTCAGATGGTCGTTCGGATTGGCTGGCCGGGACAGTTTTCGTGAGACGAATCTTGATGCCCCGACGCTGCGCCTCCCGCATCTTCTCCAAGTTCGATCTCAGTTTCGCCGTTTTGTTCTATTATTTACAAAAAACGGGATAAGGGTCTGCCGTATAAGCAATAATTGAGGTAAGGTGATATTAACTGGTGCCAAGCGAGAAATGAAATCCACCCCAACATATTTTGCTGAGGGTACAGCGTTTTTTTTTAAAATATGCGGTCGATGCCCAAACTGTGAACAGCATATGGCTGCAGACTAAGTGCATAACGGAGGGACCTGATAGTCATATGGGTGCCACAATTCAAGGCAAACTTAGATGTAATTAAACCCACGGCTCTCAGTTTGGTCTCGCAGCTCAGGTGGATAGAGCGCTAGTTGTACTCAAGCCTTCCCCTCGCTGTCGTAGGTTCGAATACCGCCGAGGTCACCGAGTTTTTCACAGTTGGGTTAAATTAAAAATTCCAAACGCCAACCCAACTTGAAAGCCTGGTAACATGAAGCCATGACTTAAAGCATCACAGTATATTTAGCCAAAGCACGACGGTCTTGTATATAGCACAGCCCCACGAGGCAGACTCAAAGGCGGCCTGCGAGCCAACTTCCTTGAAGAGGCGGACTCGCGAGACATCTAGCCGACTTCACCCTTCCCGTGCTAACCGCGTTTTGACTGCAGACGACCGGATATTTGTGTGAGCGCTGTCTGACAAAACGAAGTAGTCTGCTGATGCGAGCCACAACACACGGTCCCCTGGGGCTCGAACTCGCGACCTGTCAGTTAGAAGTCCAACGCGTCTAACCACTGAGCCACGGGCTCGATGTCCTGTCGGTTTCGATTGGGATTATACAATGGTGGAGGGGCGCTCATCGATCGTTCTTACGGAACTCACTCGTTCCGCTGTGCCATACGGGCTCTCTCTCGAACCCAACCATTGTATATTCTCGATCGAAACCGGTAGAGCAACGGGTTCGTGGCCCAGCGGTTAGAGGCGTGGACTTCTAACTAACAGGTTGCGAGTTCGAGCCCCAGGTGTTCCACACTTCGGGGTGGAGTATGACTGGTTGACGACGGCTAATAAGCCAGAAATGGCCATTCCAGTCTCCCTTGTATTTTTCGGTAATACCATTCTGCCTATATCATGCGCCGCTGTGCGGCTACTGGTTGGACTCGAGAGAGAGCCCATAAGGCACAACGGAACGGCTGAGTTCCGTAGAAACGATCGGTGAACGCCCCTCCACCATTCAATGAGAAGTCTCGGATCGCTTACAATGAGAGGGTCGCATAAGGTCCGCAAAAAGGAGTCAATACAATTTAACCCAGCATCAAAGGAGGAACGAGTTAGCTCGTCAGCTGGAGATCTTCAAAGCCTCAACTTCTAGCGTGTCGCAATGGTTTCAAACTGGTCTGACTTACTGCTGTGATGAATGCGCTGGCTTGTCATGCGGAAAGACGCCTCGGTATCGGTCTCTCTCATGGAACTATGGCCTGTCGACCAACTGGTGATGACGTTTGGCGCAGCAGCTGATGCAGCATGAATCCTCGTTCAGCATGCACTACGCGCACGCACGGCTATGGTTAAGGACTCACATACGTCCATCGCATTGCGACAAACGCATTCAATGGGCCAATGTGGTCCAAGTTCTGGGCTGACACAACAACGATGAGGCCGGTTGGTGGGGCACAGCTGTGCATACACTAAGTCCTCGACACTACCTTTCGTAATATAGGTCAGGGCAATCCGCCTTGGTTTCGGAAGCCAAGATGAGTAAGGATTGCGCGGCACGCGCGCAGTGAAGGATGTACGGTCCCCCCGTATGTTGTCCTTTATCGACACCGTTTACCGTCTACTTCACAACTTTTGTTTGTCTCAGAAAATTACGTCCTTCTGTTCTCCACAACCCTCGTGCTATTTGTTCGAACCTCCCGTCTTCTTCCGGCGTAATTTGATACTACCTTTCTGACTATACGCCACACTCTTCTGACTGTACGCCTCGAGACATCTGGTTTTAAGTGCAGTATTTAAATTTAGCTAATCATGCCCCATTACAGAACCGTGTTTCCGTCCAAATTGGCTTATTTACACCGTTTCCACGTACGGGCAAGAGCCGTTGAACGGTGATTATGGACTTTGTGGATTATATTCAACGGCCGTCTGTTGGCCCGTTCGCATTACTCCCACCAAGTCTGTTTAACCTAGCTGTTTTATAGCCGGTCTAGATTAATTCGCCTGAGTTAGCTCACTGCGTGCTGCTCGTACGTGGAAAAGGTGTAAATAAGCAGATTTGGACGGAAACACGGTTCTGTAATGTGGCATGATTAGCTAAATTTAAATACTGCACTTACGACCAAATGTCTCGAGGCGTACAGTCAGAAAAGTGTAGCGTATAGTCAGGAAGGTAGTATCACATTACACGGAAAGAAGATGGAGGTTCGAACAAATAGCACGAGGGTTGGGGAGAACAGAAGGGCGTAATTTTCTGAAACAAACAAAAATTGTGAAGTAGACGGTAGAAGGTGTTGATAAAAGGACAACATACGTAGGAACGTACAAAGGACAACGGCATTCTGAAAAACATGTGTGTGACAAAGTACAGGATGGAAAACAGGCCAACGTAGGTCAAACCGTGAAAATACCTTGTCTCCCATGAGTTCCGCCTTCATTAGCTTCGCAGCTGCCGCATTTATGTCGTCGTCACTTACGAAACGCTCCTCGACTTCTTTTGAAGCTTCTGCGGGCCTACTGGTGATGGTTTGTGACATAGATTCATGTGATTGACTCGTGGGTATGCTGGTGGTAGCTGTAACACTGTCAATACGGTGCCCTTCCAGGGAGCGTTCACGGGATCGGGGTCGGATCAGATCGTGGGACTGTCGGTCTTCATCTCGTTTCCACCGAGGACGAGGCTTACTTGCATAATGGGAGCTAGGAAAAAACAGATAATATAAAGGTGCCAATCAATGAACACGTTAAATTTGAGAAAAAATAAGTGCATGATGAATTTCTTTGACTGTACTGCCGAACAAGTATTGAAAGAAGGCGATTAGACAAGAAAATGGTAACGCAGGCTACGTCCGCGCTTTATTATCAAAAAACAACTAGTTACGACCAGGACGACACCCGTACAAAAGTATGTCGACCAAACAGACAGAAGGACAGAAAGCAGACAAAGTCAACCGCTAAAAAGAGCTGAATAACAACGAACCAATAGGTGGAAATAGGAAGATACAAAATCAACCGCACTAAAAACCTCATAACGAGTTTGACGCTCTACAATTGAGCCACGAGCCTGTTGTCCTGTCGGTTGTGATCGGGAAGACCAATTATGACAGATGGGCGCTCACCGATCAAGTTATGGAATGTGATCGTTCCGCTGTGCCTTGAGGCTCACACTAGAACCCTCGCAGACGGTCGCCCAGCAACTGGCAATAGAAGTAGATGAGATGATACCCACAAAGACAAGGGAGGCCGGAATGGCCATTTCTGTCTTATTGGCCGTCGTCAGCCAGTCATACCTAACCACGAGATATGGAACATCTGGGGCTCGATCCCCAGACTTGATGGCTAGAAGTCCAACGCTCCCAAGTAAAAGGTTGCGGGATCGAGCTTCAGGTGTTTCACACCTCAGAGTTGGGTATGACTGACTGACGACGGCTAATAACCCAGAAATAGCCATTGCAGTCGCCCTTGTCTTTGTCGGAAATGTTATTCTGCCTATATTACGCGCCGCTGTGCGGCTGCTGGCGGGGCTCGAGAGAGAGAGTCTCAAGGCACAATGGGAGGAGTGAGTTCCGTAGCGCTATCGGTGGGCACACACATAGATTTCAAGTAGGCGCGTGACCCTCACTGATGTAGTTAGGATCTCAATCGAGCTTCTAATGTTTAAATAAGACTGCAGGGAAGATAAAATCCACTAGTTTACATGGAGTCGAGGGGGTCAACGAAGCGAACTCTTGCTTCATGAGACTTCTCATGAAAAGGCGAACGCTTAATTATGACAAACGATACACAGGATCCCCAACTTAACAGTCAACTGCGTAAAGAACACCATCGAAACCAGTAAGAGTAGTTCAACTAATGACTTTTTCAGCCGCTTGTATGACAAACGCCACAGAAGGACGAAGAATCGAGAAAAAGCATAAAAAGCAAAACGTTTGAAACGATAAATAGCCCGCACAATACCTGCCAAAGTTTTGATAATTTCTTATACGTGAACGACAGAGGCGGTCATACCGTAAAAGGCGATAACGCTTCATCAATAAACTTGAATGGCGTGATACAAGAAAGCAGTTTCTAGCTGCTGGAAAATCCTTTAACTGAAAAATAAAGTCGAATTACCCGTCCTTTGGTGAACGATTGTCTCTGCTGCGACGATGCTGCGAAAAGGCATCTTCCATTACACGTACAGTCGCTTCATCCCACCTGCCAAGCAGGATGCTCCTTAATGGTCGACCGGTAGACTGTGCCTCTTCCCGCGCCCTCTCATAGGCCCGCCGCAGCCAACTCTCGTTGGCGCTTGTAAGAACGGGTTTGGTGGTGGTGGTGGTGGCGCCATCTTCCGGCAGACCGGTGCCTCCGTCCGCCCAGTAGGGATTCAGTTCAGACACAGTCCGTTCCTCAGTCTGGGGGAATCCGACATAAACCTGAGAAAAAATTGTTTACCCCATGAGTGGGCGTTTCTTTCTTTGTTCTGGTAGTGGCCACGCGTGACAGTAGAGCATCAAAGGCCAATGAGTCGTCAGTTGATTGTTCTGGCTAAAAAACCCATAAGCATTTAAACCAAGCAGGTTACCGCCGCGGGTTGTGAATTTTCCTCAGGCCGCCAGAAGTAACCGTCGGAAGACTGAGGGAATATAAGTCCGAAAGAGAGCATACCGAGTCAGGTGACTTCGAGCGTTTTTCATGTTTTTTCGACTTTCCCATTTAGATGTAATCTAGGAATTAATCAAAATGAACCATTTGAGGGTAACAGAAAAAGTAGACTGAATAATCACGAAAACGGACTAATGAGTGGCGATTACCGCGAAACACATCCGACGCCAATGTAACGCCCAGTACTGAAAGTAGCAGGGTTAGTAGAGTGGCACGAGAACACTAAGGGATCTACGGATATTGCATCGCAAGACGAAAATGCTCCTCAGATGCGCGGTGTGAGGAGAGCAAATGAAGGTTAGACACAGGCGACCTTGAGCACTATCTTTATTGAAAGACAATTGTGGAGTTATATATAACAACGATAGGCTTTAATGACGAGACAACTAATCAGAACCGGCTCCTGTGTTTCCAGCCGATTTTACCAAAATTAATATCGGTCTAAATGAGAGAAAGTAGGATACACTATATCAAGTCACCCTAACTTTGAATTTTCATCAGTGCGATTCGAGATGGGCCCAACGGAAATTGTGAGGTTTTAAAGAAAATAGGCGCATTTTGAACACAAAAAAGTCCGTCCCGCAGATATGATTTTTTGCAAAGTGAAATAATAAGATGGGCCAACTACTAAGTCAATCTATATTGAAAAACCCTATGCGTAAACAAATGTACTAAGTGTAATAGTGACAAGCGGGGGCCTTTCGCTCTTGTTGTTGCCTGAAAACATGATATATTGGTGGCTGCGGCGATAGGAAATGAGGAGCGGGAGTGGTCCAGTGTGCGTCGCTGGAGGAAAATTCTGATATTATTAGGGACACTCGATTGCGGGGCCTGAGTGGTAGGCCAGTGGCTATAAATAAACAAGGAGGTATGAACGATCCAGGAAGACTGAGAGATCGTGTTACGCGACGGAAGATTAAAAACAAAGCGCATTCACGCTGAAATTCGCCAATGTTCGCCACGACTATGGTTAAGAAAAGTACGATATGGTTCGATCTGCACCGATGTAATGCTATAGAGAGAGATGAATGCTTTATTTTAAAAATAACATTCAAAACTGTCAGCAAAAAGATCTTCCTTAAAGGCAGTGACGGACCACAGATACCTAGATCCCGAAATCAATTCGGAATTTCGAAGCCAATCCAACTTATAGGGGGCGGGCGTGTCGGAAGAATGTCAAGTGGGTGCCTACAAGGCAACTACTTCGTGACGAAGATGATACATATGCTCGCGGCAGCACATCAGACACCAAAAAAGCTTCGGCCATGTCTACGGATAAACCAAATGACCCATGGACCTCAGACAAATTTGGTAGGTATGGCGAACTACCACGAAAAGTGCGGCGGTAAGCTTCAGAGACAAAAGGCCAAAATAAGTGACAAGAACACACGACCGAAATACGGAATAACGTTGTCAATTCCACAGGTGTCCGCTACAAACGCACTTTCAAAGCTTGCAGTGGTTTTTCCGGATATTCGTGCTTGCTGACATAGTGACGCCAACAACTGACATAACAGCAGTGTGGATAATAAGACAAAAATTATCACCAACTTCAACTGATCAACCTATGAATGCAGGTTCAAAGCCCGGATCGTCTTGGTCAAACAACCCATGTCCAATTCTACAAAGTCGTCGTGGCAATTATCGGTATGTCCAAGTGCCCTCAATGTCCCCGTACATCTAGGGTTACAAGGCTGGTGTAAGAACTCCAGACACACTGCAACGCAGACCAGTAATGCACTCTGTCAAGGACTAAGATATAAGACAATCTGGTGAAGATGACCATCGCAGATTACGACGAGCAGACTGCGATGTTTAAAAATATTATATGCAGATCGAAGGAAAGAGCCACTACCACCTGTCGCAAATACAAGGGTCAGATTACGAAAACTACGGGAACAGGAACGTCGGGATATGCATGAAGACGTCTTTTAAAGTTCATAAAGAGAACGAGTGGCAAACATTTGTTTCCTAGACACTGAAATTTTGAGATAACAGAAACAGGCGAGTTAAAGTGAAATACTAAGACGGGCTTCGATAGAACCGTGTAAACGTTAAAACAACGAATCACCGAAGGAGGGCAATCACTTCGCTGTTGCAACACCCAGGTGCCCAACGGCAACGCTTGGCAGGGTAATGTAATTGGTAGCAATTAAGTTCTGGCTGGCAGGTTGGTGTAGTGAGGTAGTAGACGACCGATAGAGAGCCTTACCGGTGCTTGGCAAGTTTCTCGTGAATCATTCAACTTTCTGTCAGTATTTTGGTGGCCTTTTCCGCCTACATCACAATTTATATCCCACTAAAACCACAGTGTTTACATCGAAGCGTATATCATGAAGCAAACACAATGTGGGAAAACTGAAGAAGACATGGGTAGACAACGACAGGTCTGTGGATGATGAGCATGTTTTTACGCAAAGGTATTGTAAATAGGCGATTGTCGAACTTCTGGGTATGAAAGACGCACTTTTCGCTCCGAACCAATTAATTATAAGCCAAAGGAGGTCGCACGGGCAAACGGGCAGGTTATGGAGCCCACATAGTTAACAAACGCGACGACAGCCCATGACCATGCCAGTATTAACGACCGATGCCCTTGTGACCCTGTCGTTCGTCACAAGGTGAATGGAAAAAAATTTAAAGCATTCGAAGGCAGGCCAACTTACAACTACCACTGACTGTTACGAGTGAGCACGGCACCAAATACTAATTTGCCGCATATAGCACATTTGTCTCCCATTGGGGAAAAAAGTACACACAAGTCTCTGTGGTCGAGTTTTCGATGCTCCACTTGATGTAAACATAGTCATGCGAGATTCAACAGCCAATCTGGAATCTGGCAAGAGAAAAATGCACGTTCTCTTAACGACTAAGGTGCGTGAAACGTTTTACTGAGACTATGGCTATTCAGACGTGTTTAAGTACTGGAGCAGGTCATAATCACTGAACAAACGCTGAGGATTGAATTAGAGTGAACACAATTAGAGTGAATTAGAGTGAGCACAGCCAGATGCATTTTCTGAGCGTGGCGTAGCGGCAGCACGAGCAAGTTACAGGTTGGTTCCATAATCACATGGGTAGTGCTTAGATGCAAACAGAGAACCGCAAGCCTGAATCATCTCTAGGTGTACTTTGTTTGCAAATTATCATAGCACGGGACCCTGGAAGGCCAGACGAGTCCGCCGAGAAGCAAATGAGAAATAAGGGAAAATGTCGATAGGTACCTAACTATGTCGTCAGAAGCAGAAGTTACATTTGCATATAATGTGTTTCTGGTCAATACTGACTGACGTCGGTGCGCGACATATAAACAGGGGGAATTGATTTTCCCGACCTAGTGTAAGAGAGCGGCGCTAAGTTTTTATTTCGGCACGCCTTTCTTAGAAGGCATGGCAAATGCGTTTGTTGCGAAGTGCTGTTGGGTGTTTGAGGGCTGTGTTGTGAAGCAACGACATGTGGTAAGGGACTGTGCCTGCCACCAGTAATCTGCCAATTTGGAAGACCCAACATGTATACGTGTTCCGTGCCAGGTATATCGGTCACCGTATGTGCGGAAATGGTTACTTTCAGTTCCCATGCGGCGATTAAGTGATATATGTTATTTTACCCAACCCTAAGACTCCTTTATCTGGACGAGCGGTGCAACTCGTGGTTCCACTTTACTTTTTTCGAGAAAGTTGTGACGAGGAATACGCTTCCATTTGATTTTTGTATTTATATCCCTCTATATGGTTGCCATGTTTTTCAGACAGCTACTTTCGCATTAATCTTATAACAGCGCTCATGCTAAGGCAAGCTGTGGCCACCCCGGTGTTGGTTTCGCGTGGCACAACACGATTTAAATTAAGGCACCTAGAAGTCGCATTTATCAATAGAAATATTTGAAGGAAAAGGACGGCGCATCCCTGATAGCATTCTACTCGCCCAGGGCTGGCTCGGTCGCAGGTTAGTGTTGCGACTGACTAGATTTTTCAGCAATCCTAGCGGACACTGTCTACATGGGGGCAGTAGGTTGACACACCTTATCGGGCGAGTTGTGGGCGTTGTAGCCCGAGGCGATTTAAGTCGCCAAACAGGGGCCTAAGTTCTGGACAAAGTGCGTGCTCGTACCCTGCATGCGTGCGTACGCGCAAAGGGACCCCCAGGAATGACGTGAAAAATGCACTCGGGTGAGCATCAAGGAGGGGGTGTAGCAGAAAAGCTACTTTCCTCGCACAGATCGGGCACTCTCAGCCAGTCAGGTTACTAGCCCTGCAAGTCAAACGGGCTAGCAAATGTCTAGCCCTGGGCGACTAATTGCCATCATTTTCCCTTTATATATAAAGGGAAAATCATGACGTGTACGTCTACAGACGACAGAGAATCTCTGTTTAGCCAGATGGCGAATCGCCATCGAACCATGGATGTAGACCGCAAGTCGCGTCGAGGCAGCAACAAAAGGGCAATGCGTCGTCGAATAGCAGGCCGCGATCGGCAATAAATGCTGTAATTACAGCAGACTTCCACGAGGAAACCTGAATCCATAATTGATAAACTATATCAGGGAAGCAGAAAATAAGAGGGGTCAAAATTCTATGCCACTGAACAGTTCCTTGGAGAAGACGATCACTCAATATCAAAATAAGTATGTTCTCATCTTTGACTAAACATCGTAATGCGGATCGCTCGTGTGCCCCGACGAGCAAGGTGATACAACCAGGACACCAACATTTGGGAATACAGACAGCGCAGTAAAACAAAATGGATTACAAAAGAAGAAAGTCTAGAAGACCAAAAAACTTGACAAAATAAGGCGCCAAAAGAGGAAAACACAGGATCAAGCAGCAAAGGCAAGGGTGAGGAAAGGGAGAAAATGAAGAGCCGAGGTACAGGCGAACAGGAATTATAAATAAAAGTCATGCGAACGGGGGTGGGGTAGAACGGAAACCGACTTCTTGAAATTGGAAGTCAGCACAGCAGGCCGTCTGTGTGTTAATGTGAGCTCAACGTGCTCAACACTGCGACAGGTGGCACTGCTTTTTAGGTACGACTTCAGCCGTCCTACTGATGGG